GGGCAGCAGAAACTGCTGCTGAGAAAAGTGGGGGTGCAGCAGGCCCTGTCAAAGAGCCCAGGTTATTGATGGCCTATCTGAGTGTGCTTCCCAGCTCACCTGCTGCTGCTGGGTTTTCATTCCAACGCCTGTATTTCTGTGCCCGCTCCACCACAGCCAGGCTTCCAACAAACAGCTTTCAAAGCACACCTTGAAGGCACCCAAGGACATGGGCTCCCAAAAGGCCTTTGCAATAAACAACTTCTCCCATGGGTAACTGAGCAGAGCACCCAGTCCTTCCCCTGTATAAACCCATGTCATTTTTGGGAATGGTAAGAGTGATAGTCAGGACTGCACTTACTCCTTTCAAGCACACAACAGGCCAGGAGATGTTTCCTCACAACACCCACAATGCAAGAACATATTTTCCTTCAAAGCAAAGCACCAAAGCATAAAATTATCAAAATATGATTAGTGCCATCATTTCCCCCTGTTAGTAGGCTGGCTAGTTCAGCCTCTGCCAAAAAGATTATTTGCTGTCTCCATTAAGGTTAATTTGAAGAGTTGACATTTCAGGTGACAGAGTTCAAGTCACTGCACTGCCAGACTGTCTTTGAGACATTGGGCAAGCTCACCATCTCTGTGCTTTGCTCTTCACAGTGGTGGTTTATTATACTCCTCTTTCCACAATTGAATTCTACTTTACAGCCTTTAATCAATATTGAAATGCTCCTCTTTGGGCAATATACTCACACTTCTGTCTGCTGAAAGATGGCTTTCCTGGGTTTTACTTCGAATTTCTCCAGCAGTGAACCTGACCCCACTACCTCTACCTTTCCCCCATCCCTAGGAGCTCTCAAGTGATGGCAAATACAATTAATTGCAGGTTCCACTGCTACAGAGATACCTAAGTGACTTAGGAACACAACTCCTATTGATTTTCAACAAGGTTTTTGTCCCCATGTCACTTGAGCCTAAGTGATGATTTCACCATAGCTGCCTACCTCTTTACCTCTATTTAATCATGTTTGTTGTACATTCTCCTTGCACACAGCTACTGTTTTCAAGGATCCCAAAATAATAATCACAGCTACATGCAAACAAATCTTTACTACAAACAGTCAAAGAATAGGTGTAAATTCCAAAAGAGGTTTTCCCTTGCACCTAGGCCTAGTCAAGTATGCCTTAGAGGTTTCTCCTAAGCCTTCCACCTCCTTCATGAGCTGTCAGTGGGACGAAAAGTCAGTAGGGTCTCTCCAGGCCCTTTTTCACTTACAGGACTGGCAAGGCCAAACCTAGGGAAATAATTCCCAGCTAACAGCACATCCTATTGCACTGCCACTGCTTCACACAGCACCACTTATAATGGACTGACAGCATGGGATGCTGCTTGCTCTTTCCATGTCCGTGTGTACAAGTGATTTTATTTATGTGCATGGTGGGGAAGGTTGCAGTTAAAATTACACGGCAGGTATAAAAGGTAATTGGTCAGACAACAACAACAACCCCCTCAAATGTAAGTTTCCAAAAAAAAAAAAAAAAAAAAAAAAATAAGGTCAAAGGAGAAACAGCAGAGGCACATGTTTGACGTGTCTGTGGCATTACTTGTTATTCTCACAAGTATGCTCAAAATGGCCTTCTTTTCCCAATTCAACTCAGGCCATTTGCTTTCCTGCAGCCACATCACATATCTCAAACAACTACTTCTCCATCCTAGAGAGTCCAGGGGCAGAAATGGAACCACTGCTACAGCATGACAGAGCTATACAGTCCAACCCAGCACCAGGCCAAATCTTCTCTAGAAAAAAGTTCAGTGGGACAAAGGTAAATGGGGCAGAGGGTGCTCTTCCCAGTCCCTACTTTGCCTGCAAATGGCTGTCCTTGCCTACACCACAGAGGCAATTTATTTGCCTCAATTTATGTTTACAAACATTTATAGGTCAGAAAGTTTTTCCTCAGCACTGCATTATCCCACAGAGCCTCTCTCACGTGTAAGCAGATCCATTGCATGGATCAGTGAGATCTTCTGCTCACCTCTGAATCCCTGCATGTGGCAAGGATGGAAGGCAACATGTGGTGTGTGAGAGCTGCCTCCTGAACTGCTCTCAAAGGCCTTCACCTGCCTCTGATCCCCCTTCCCCATCTGTCTGCCACACCCACTTGTTCTAGCTCTTCATTTCCTCTTGGCAGAGACATCTCCATGTTACCAGTCTCTACAACAGCTCTGCAGGGGCCAAATCAACTTGTTACTCCAACTGCATTCAAAACCTCACTGCAAAGAGCCCCCAGACCAGCACAGAGACAGAAAGGGAGGTATGGATCCATCCAAACACCTGTAACCAGCAGCAATGCCCAGGAACAGGGCAGCTACTCCTGGTTCTGGTAACTGTACTCTAGCAGAAAGATTTAAAGCAGTGATGGCATCACCTCTCATTCTTTTCAACTGGAAATTATTCTGTAGCACAGGTAGAACTCATGCCAGGCATGCTGGGGACTGGAAACAGCTGGCTGCAGGACGAGCACACGTGTGCCAAGTCTCATCTGCATCACTCAATTAGCTTTCCCCTGGCCATGGCAGAGATCTGTTTCCTGATGTGGCTCACTGGACTGGCCTCTTAGTTCAAGTCCCAAGTGTTTTTCCCTGGCTCTTTGCCTTTGTGCCTTCAATGTAATGCAGCTGGACAGTCCATCCCCTCCCTCCAGTGCTGGCTGGGAGGTAAGACAGGTTTCTTGCAAAAGTGTGAGTAATTCTAGTGGAGTGAAAATCAGCACTGATGAGTGAATGAGGGCAAGATACTGTAGATGTTCAGCCTGTAGAAGAGAGGGATTCAGGGTGACCTAACTGCAGCCTTCCAATAAAGAAAAATGGAGAGAGACTTTTTAAAGAGCATGGAGTGACAGTGATGGCAAATTGATTTTTGCCTTTTTTCTTTTATATATTACCTATATTCTTCACACATTTATTTTTAGCTCTGTAGCCTATCATAGTATTTGTAGCTAGCATTTTACCTACTCCATTAGACAGAAACGCAAAATAAATTCCCCAGCAGCTCCAAGCTGTGGCTCCAAGGTTAGATTCTTTGCAAAGCCACAGATGAAACTATCTCTGACACACATTTTCATAAACAAAGTTTAGTTCCTATCTAAAAGACAGGCAATTTGAAGAAGGTTGAACCAGGGAGGAATAACCTCACTATTTACGTCTCTAATTGGAGATTCTTGTCAGATATGCTAATTTGCAAAACCTATAAAAACTGTATACATTTTATGCTATGTGTGCATCTCTGGTCCACCTGGTGAATTGTGCATCTAAGGATCCTTACAAAGATAACCCCTTTTATCACCCCTGTCTGGCTCATGATTTTAGGACCAGCAAAAAGGCATCAACAGGATGAGGGGGAACAGTCTCACACTGCCAGAGCAAAGATTTAGATTAGCTATTATGAAAAAATTCTTCCCTGTGAGGGTGGGGAGGGCCTGGCATTGTTGCCCAGAGAAGCTGTGTCTGCCCCTGGAAATGTCCAAGGTCAGGCTGCACAGGGCTTGGAGCAGCCTGGTGTAGTGGAAGGTGTCCCTGCCCATGGCAGGGAGCTAGAACTACATGATCTTTAAGGACCCTTCCAACCCAAACCATTCTGTGATTCTATGATACCACCCACAATCTGATTTGAATTGCAAGAATCCACTTCCAAGGGACACAGCATTGCTTGTGTCTGATAAAAATGCAAGGCTGGATACTGTGCAAGGGCTCTCTGTAGCAAGCTGCCTGTACAGCCTGCTGCCTGGGCACCACAAGAATGAAAAACTGTGTAGGGTGGTACCACCTACTGCTCACTGGTCCTACAATCACCTGCCACCCATTGCAGAGAAAGGAAAAGCAACCTCAGGGATTATAGGAGGGTTCAGGAAGATTAGCCTCTGCAGAGTGATGCTGGATTTATACAGCTGAGGATGCAAAGCCTCTGGGGCCTCATTCCAGAGCATGCCACTCCAACAGTGACAAGCTCAAACTGATTCTGGATATGTTGTTTTTTTCCCCTCAGGAGCTGCACATAAATGTTTAAGAGCACAGATACAAATGCCATGTGACATAGATGTTAGGGGACAAAAACTTCTGCAGCCAAACAACAGATTTCTGCAAATAATCACGTTACTCCTTTTCTTCCACATCTCTCTCCACATTTATTTTGTTTGGCTCCAGATCTCGCTTGTTCAGGGTGCAAGGGCGAGCAAGAGCTGCTCAATTAAAAGCAGGGATGTCGCAGGTGAAGAGGAGCGGCTCAGAGCTCCCTGCCTCCGCTGCGCTCCCAGTGCCACCGTGTGGTGACACGAGTGAGCACCACGGGTACTCGAGGCACAAAAGCCAACAACACTCGGCCAATAACTCAGCAAGGAGGCTCTCCCAGCCTCGTAAAACATGAAGGGAAAGCTCAAGTCAGCAAGAGAACTAAAATATAGCTCACTCCTTTAATTTACCGCTATCTTTCCTGTTGGCTTTTATATGGTCATTTTTCTTGAAGGAAGAAGATTTATATTTAAATAGCTCTGGAAGCATAGGTGTTTGAAAGCATGGTACAAAAGCAGTACTAACACATACTGCATGATCACAGCAAAGCAGAAAAGCTTAAAAATCAATAGTCCAGGCTGGAAATAAAACACATTGTATGTGACCCTCAGGTGCAGTAAGTCAGGACAAGTCCAGTGCTGAGTTTGAAAGGTAACTCTGTCCTAGGTACATCAGTTACTCATCACAAGCCATCCACATTCCCAGTCTGAGCCTCAGAGATACTGTGGATTTTCCACAATAAACCATAGCTTCCATAATCCAAGGAGCTATTTTACCAACAAGAGCGTGCTCAAAAACTTCTGCTGACTGAGAATGTGAACTGGGTTTTAAGACAACACCATGTATTCCAAGCACTTGAATAAACTTCTCAGCATTGACTGCATCTATGCTTACCATAGGTTTCTGAGCAGGATTCCCAGAAGAATTGTTGTGTCCTAGGACAAGGCTTTTTTACCTGTTCATGTCCTTTAGGATGTTCTCCATGTTGGCAATGCTGCGCATCTTATACAGGAACCACTTGTCAATGGCTGTGAGTTGGTGAATGACATCCACAGGGACTTCATCCTCCAAGGCCTGCCAAAAACAGGACAGCACCAAACAGCCCCTTTAACACTCTGCACAAATACAGATCTACTCTGCAAATCTACTCGGCTAGCAGCAAGTACAGATCATAAAGAAAAAAAGTTATGTAAATCAAGCTGTACAAGTCAAATGTTCATCTACCTCCTGACCTTGTCTCCTGCAGCAATAGAAACTGTGCCCCATGAGGAGTGCAGGGAGGCCCCAGCCACTTCTCCCTGTGCTCTGGTTCCAAAAGCTGGCTTCTCTTTCAGTGAGAGAGGTAATTTGCTTTTCACAGAGCCAGCAGTCAGACAAGCTGATGGCAGCTGGGCTGGGTGGCTACTGAGAACATGCTCAGCTAGCTACAGGGAGCCACATTCAGGCTGTAGTGACCAAGCCTCCATCTGCACACCTCTTACCACTCAAAATTGTCTAAATCTCAGGCCCACTGCCAACCTCCTAGCTGCAAATGTAAAACAGGAAGCTCCAGATTCTCAGCTGTGAACATTTTGCTTTGGATCATAAATCTTGATACATCCTTGAAATACAGGACTGAACCAAAGCATGTGGCCTTGCATCACCTCTGAAGCAAGGCAAAGCCAGGTCCTGGGTGATGCTTGCAGCTACAGCACAGCTCTAGGTTCTCTCACTATACCTCAAGATAATGTCAAGACCATTTACATTTCCCTTCTTTATTGCTGGGGTTATTGATGGGGTTTTTTTTTAAATCAATTATTTACAGCTTTGAGGTAAAAAAGAACCCCACAGAGATATTATTCATAAGACAATGGGTTACAAAACATCATAATATTAAAAAAACCCTGCACCTCAGAGAGCCCTCAATATGATGTATTTTCTATCAATGCAATTTCTTGGGTCCCACCAGTGGTGTACAGTTACAACTCTCCTGACAAAGCAACTATAATCAACCATAATGATAATGCCAGCACAGTATCTTTGCTGAGCTAAAGTAATCAGGCTCATTAATTTCTTACCATGCTTAATTGTTTTCTTGCAGGGCAGCATCCCTGGAACAAAGCCAGAGCACTGCCATTGAAGAAAATTCCAGAATTAATCCAGGAATGAGCTTGGTCCACTGCACCCCAGCATTATTCCCCCAAGTTACAAAATTTGGGCAACAATGTTGGTACCATCACCATGGGCTTCAGCAATGGGGAGATCTTCTGCCAGCTCAGAGAAATGGGTCACTTCAGGGAGCGAAGTGGACAAGGGATGGGTGGCAGCTCTCTGCAAAATACTGTCACCACCTTCTGCCTTTCCTAAAGAATTCCCAGTCAGCTCTTGCAATTATCCCATTGCTCTGAGAGGTGACAGCTGCTCACTGGGCTTTCCTGTGTGCTCACAAGCAGTGGTGAATACCTCCAACACAGGTTCTGCTCCTTTAGAGTACCCAGGCACATACCAAGTCTTCGGTACACTATTGGTATGAGGCAAGTGGTAAGGAGTCCTTGCCATCCTGATTCTTTAGTGCTTGGAGGGTGAGGTCACGTTGCCACATTAGTGGGATGTGAGCAGGCCTTTTTTCCTTTCAGGTCCATCTATTTTTACAAAACACATGCAGACTTGCACATCTTCATGATCTCCAATTCTCAGTCAATGGTGCCTGAGCCACACATACACAAGGGAGCATGACACTCTTAAGCTGGTTAGAACACTTTATTTAAAAAGTCCCAGGGATCTCCAAAGGAAACTGAAAAAAATGTATCCCTTCCACCCATTCATCAGAGGAGGGGCAGAGAAAAGCAACCATGTTCATCCCTGTTGCATAAATCTGGAGACTGGGAGAGAAGAGTGAGTTTGCAGACATTTCTTGCTCCATATCAGCACACTCCAGGGGCAAATCAGATTTCCAGGCAACTGTGTAGAATTTGCTCAGGGAGGCCCTGAACTCCAATGGCTTTCCTCCTTTCCAACCTAAATGAAGGAGTACAGCCAAAACCCACCATGGATGCAGGAGGAGAGAGACACAGCAGGACAGTGTGACTTTAGAGCCCTGCTGAACTTCAAGAGCATCCCATCCAGTAGGGATTGGGGTTTACAGGACTGCCTTCATGCCAAGAGCCATGGAGCAAGCCTGGCCTCCAGGCCAAGCAATGAAGGGCAGCTCAGCTGCCTAAGCTTCATCTAGGGACAGCACCCTTGTTGCTTCATCCTGGCTCCTCACCAAAGAAAGTATTTAGCTGCCTGTGGACAGCAACACAAGTGCAAACTGCACATCTGTAGTGTGGACAACTAGGAGACCAGGGCTCTGGTGTGAAACAGAGCATGCACCAACTCCACAGCCTAAGCCTTCTGAGGCCATTTGTACATAAACTTAAGAGCAGCAGAAAACACCTGACACAAGCTGAGCATTCCTGCTCATCAGGCTGTTCCATCCTTGCAGCACTCCCACTCTAGCCAAGGAACAAGTCTCATCTATGTCAGCCTCTCTCCTGTGCCTTCTTTTACATGACAACAGGGAGCCCCATTACAACAGCAATAGCTCTGAATGGCAGCTGAACTCCCTTTCCTTGCACCTGAACAGTTGCTGTTGTCATCATCTAACAGGCAAAGGAGAGAGAAAAAGTAAAAAAAGTAAAAAGCCTTGGAGGGCTAACTAGCGGGGAGGAGAGGAGAAAACATACAAAATATAACAAAGGTCCATCCTGCTTCAAATGGAGCTGATGGCTAATGGGACTTACTGTTGGCTTTTAAAGGTCAATAAGCTGGGAAGGAATTTCCATGCAAACAGCCCCAGGTGCCAGCAGCACCTCTTACTTATACTGCTTGCCTCAGTTATTAATGGGGATGAATTTGTGCACTGTGTTGGGCAGAGGCAACTCTTTATAAGGCAGGACTAAGTTTTTCTTGCTTTTTCAACAGATCCCAGTGAAAATACCAGCAGCTGGGAACACCCAGTGTTCAGTGGGACCCAAGCTCACCTTCATCTCCCCAGATGCCCTGTGTTAAGATGGGTCTAATTTTAATCTTTCATAAAATCTTTCTGAACCACTCAGAGACTCAAGAAGTAAGATTTTTCTCTCAGTCACAAGAAAAAGGCTGTAATAAAGACCAAACACAGCTGCTGGAGGATGAAGACATGCACTTCCCAGCTTGAAAAACAAGAGGGAACAGCTGGACAAGCCACACATTTATAAAACACTTTCTGATTTTTCTTCAGGCCATTTATAAGAGGAACAGCTAGTGAAAACCTTTTAACTAACACAGCACAGGCTCAGCTCCTCACTCATGTGGAGGTGGAACGAGATGTACCTACACAGGAGCACAAAGGGCTTAAAGACTCCACCACACAAAGTCAGGGGCACAAAAAACAGTAATTGGGCATTCCCTGCCAGGAAGGTTTGCAATCTTAAAAAAAAAAAAAGAAAAATCAAATCCATCCAGGTAAGCAGGAGCTGTAAAAGACAGCTGTGCCCTCCTCTTCATAGAGGGTATGGACAGATGGACATGTTACCTGCAGCAAAACCAAAGGGTGAAATTGCACCTACCTTCTAAAGTAACTAAATCTACATTTACCACATGATATACACAGGCAAACACTGAGAAGATGAAGGTAGAAATAAATTTGCACCCAAGTCTCCTTATAATAACACTCCCTCTTACACAGGCACCTTCAAGGCTGAAGTGATTTGACCAGTGTGACAGGAGAGGGGTCAAAAGAATGCTACAGGAAGCTAAGCTGGTTTTGAAGAACAGGGGATTTCTTGTCTTCGAAATTTAATATAGAGTTGTGTAGTACTTTTAGTTTCAAGCCCATACCAATCCAACCATTGCAAGTAGACAGTGCAACTTGCCATTCTTTATCATCCTTTGTTTCAGTTCTCAAAAGAATCTTCGTTTATTCCTTTGCAATCTGCAAAACTGACTAATTTTGACTGGCACTTACAGTAGTATAAATCAGGGCTGAATTCTAGCCAATGTTTAGCAGACAAATTTAATCTCATAGGAGAGGAAAGTAAGCCAGGTGTCCACCAGCACCCAGCTACAAGCTGAAGTAACAGGACACCAGAATGCACCTGATGCTGAATGCAGTGAGCACAGGCTAAGATTGTACCACCAAAAGGCAAACACATTGCCTGAACATGGAAGATGCAGAAAGCGTAAGCAAGAATCGTATTCAAAATGCTCCCAGTGAGCTTGTCAGAGGGAAGCAAGGGATTGAAGAATACTCAGCCTTTGTCATCTCAGTTGACCCAATCCTGTAGCTCAAATTCAAGGGATGTAGGTGTCTTAGGTTGAAAGATGTTAGTGGGGGTATGTATTCTATTTGCCATCTGTTAGAGGTGGGGCAGTTCTCTTCTGTTCATGGGGCAGTTTTCTTTATCTCTTCCACAACCAATCCTCCCTCCAGGAGATCTCTTCCGCTCATGGCCACTGAGTGTCCCTGCATGGCTGATAAAATTCCATCATCCCACTGGGAGATGCTCTGCCCAGGGGGACGAGCCAAGCATTCCTACCTGGATACAATCTGACACTGGGAATACCACAGCAGCCTTTTCCCACTGCATTCCCAGAGGAGCAGCTTTCTTCTGCACTGCATTCCCAGAGGAAAACCAGGCCCATCTACAGCAGCCCTGGAGCTTCAGAGGAAAACTCCACCCTTGTCCAGGATCCCTGCTCCAGCAGAACCACAGCTGGCACTGCAGGAGGGCTGAGCCACCATGGAATGGGACTGTGCCACCACCCTGAAACACAGGGGGCCAGGGCCTGTTCTGACTCTGGCAGTGGTTTGTTTTCTTTTTTGTACTATTGCATTTGTATTTTTAATTTTCCTAGTAAAGAACTGTTATTCCTATTCCCATATCTTTGCCTGAGAGCCCCTTAGTTTCAAAATTATAGTAACTTGGAGGGAGGGGATTTACATTTTTCTTTTCAAGAGAGGCTCCTGCCTTCCTTAGCAGACACCTGTCGGTTCAAACCAAAACAGTAGGTCAAGGTTTTTCTATCTTTTGTTACCTTGGCTATTGCATATATCCGAGTGCTGGATGGCTCAGAGAGCTCTTTGTGGAGATCCACAGTGGCTGGCCAGGCTTTATTCATAGGCAGCTGTGAAACAAAGCCATCCACCGAGGGGTGGCACATCCTCAGGGCCTTTTGGAAGCTCTCCTCAAACGTGCGTCCGATAGCCATGACCTGTAAGGGAGAGCACAGCCACATGAGCCACAGTGAGCCAAGCCTGGCTGTGCCCTGAGCAACAGGGTGGGGAGAATTCCAGCCACAAAGACAAGCACACACACAGATGGTAGCCTTGGGACTCCTCCACAAGATAGTCCTGCTGACTGAGCCTTGGTAGCCCCACTTCTAGATCTGACTCTGCTCATGGTATCAGTGGGAAGCTCCAGATAAGTGACTGGTTGGTTTTTTGGTTTTGGTGGACTATTGCACTTTTGATTTCCATTTCCCTGTCTGTAACACACAGGAGAATGCTGCTCTCCTCTGTAAACTGCTTTAAGGGAAGAACTCTGGTAGGGGGAAACATTATGCAGCAGCATGGGTATAGTAATATAAAAGAATATTTCTGTTTAACAGCCTGTTAGAGATAGAAATTCACAGTGTGAATTTTAAGGTTCAGGAGAAACCTGCTCCTGCTTCCTTTAAATTACATTTAACACTAACTCTCCCCTGTGAGGGTTCTAGTAAATGATTACTCCTCCTTGGCATAGCAGCACTGAAGGGGTTTCCCTCCTTCAGTCTTGACACAGTATCTAATAAGAAAACAAGCCTTTCTGTCTAGAAATCTTTGAGGTAACAGAGCTCTTTCTCAAACTTTTACATTTTTATTTCCCAGTGCAGAGAAACCTTAACAGCATAAAAATCTTCTCAAACACAATGCTGAAAAATGTCAAAAGAAAAAATAACATTGTTTTCTCTTTTCTCACAGCTCCAGGCCCACTGCCCAGCACAACAGAGCTCAGAAAAAGCCAGACCAGACCGTTCAATTAATAAAAATGCAGTAGGTGATGCGATCTGGCTTCAAGTTCAGGCCTGGGGAGATGCCTGTTCCATACTAATAGAGGCACAGTGGCAAGAAAATCTTTGCTTCAAAGGCTCCATCTCCTACCCACAGGTCCTGCAGATTAACATTCTTGCTCAGTTCCCCCACCAGCTGCAAACTGCATCCCTTGGGCTTCTCCATCCCTGCTTCAGCTCACCTGCCCTGTTAGAGCACTGACTCTCCCTGTATTTCCGTCCTGCCTGAAAAATGACACAGGTTCAAGCACTTCTGTGGCATATGAACATGAGAAGGACTCAACATCTCCTTCTGCAAATGTGTATGGCCAGCAAGTTCCACAGCTGATGGTGCAACTGTATTTAGGAACTCAGTTCTACAGAACAGTCCCAAAACCCCTAAGCAGGTTAGGGGAATATCAGGAAGCATCATCTCACTGAAAACAAAAACCCATCTCATTACCATTAAACCCATCTTATTACCATTAAAGCCAAACCTGCCAATGGAAGATCAAATTCTAATTAATCTTTCCAGTTCTGATGAAGACTTCTTGTTCAATGGCAACAATGATATTAGGAACATCTTGCATGTCAAAATAATTTAATAAAATAACTATTTGAAAAGACAACTGAAAAAATACACAAATTATTTTGCTTTGGTATCTGATATGTAATTAACTAATCAAGTGGGTAATTTAATGATTTTGTATCATTTCCCACTTCTTCTGAAAATACTGTTACTGTCCAGACATCTCAAATTCTGATGTAAGAGACTTCATCTCTAAAAGAAGTCAAAACTTGAGAGCAAGATGACAGTTTGTGTTTGGATTTCAAGGGAAGAAACAGGCTGAGATCTGGCATATGGTTTCAACACAGAGGACAAATAATTCAGGAAGAACTGAAAGCTGTGGCTGATGGGCACCACTGAAAATATCAACACACTACTACTCCTAAAATTGTACTGTAGTTAACCACCACTACAGAAACTCAAACTAAAAAAATAACTCTTAGAGCTCTGGAATGAGCGTTAGTAATGAAGTCAACCTCAGGTGACCCATAGAGATCTCTTCCTTTAGGAGTCAAACCATATTACGCAGTCCTAATTAATTTCCATTAATTATAGTATTGGATAAAAATCATTTGAGCTTAATATATATCCTTCAATTCATTAGGTCCTTGAAGACAGACACTCTGAGGGTTTCCAAGTAACAGAAATGGCTTTCCCAAGTGGTGGAATGGAAGGTGCACTTGCCTCTCCCACACTCTTCATGGAGCTCCCAATCCAGTTGGAAGTGTGCTGGAAGCGGTCCAGATCCCAGCGGGGTATCTTGGTCACAACGTAATCCAGGCTAGGCTCAAAGCAAGCAGAGGTTTTTCCTGTCACCACATTCTTGATTTCTGGCAAGGGAATCCCCAAGGCAATTTTGGCAGCAATGAATGCTAATGGATACCTGTCAGAGAGGAGTAGAGAACTGTAGAGTGGAAAGAACTTTGTATTTGCAAATCCCAGGAGAGGATCCAGTTAAACAGATGTGAGGTGATCGTCCCTCCTCAACACAAGGGAAGGCTCCTGTGCTCAAGGACAGCAGGACCCACCCAGCCTCCTACCTCAACACATTGCACAGCTACCTCCCTAGATCTGGGACTTGCTTTTTTATCCACCATGCCACCCCTTTTCAGTAGCTGTCACATCCACAGATATGTTTAGCTGCAAATCTGTCATTGAAAAAGAAAACAATCAAACACCCACTGTCCAACAACATGGCTTATCTCCAGCCTGCTATGGGCCTTAAATAACCATAAGAGTTGTTGAGAACTGCAAATTAGAGATTAATTTGTGCCTCTCAACAGCATCTGCAAAGTGCAATTAAGAAGCCAATTTTTAAACAGCCTGCTTTGACCATCCTTATCTTGATTAGTTTATGATTAGCCAACAAAACAAAGGCAGCTAGCAATGCCATTTGCATCAATCTGACAGACAGCTCATTAATAACTCTGCCCTCTGGGTCCCAGAGATGATTTGCAGCCAACATATGGATACAGTGGATGTGCTTGGCAAGGATTAGGCTCCCACACACACGCCTCCTGGGAGCTTTCCCATTTGTAGTAACAGCATCAGCAGGCTGGAATGACCTGGAGGGCTCACTAACCCCACCCTCCATCTCCCAGCAGGACCAGCTCTCCAAGGGTCAAACCTAACAGATGCTGACAAGAGCTGTTCTTTGAAGCTTCCCATGCAGAAATCTGTATCTTACTGACCTGACTGCTCCAGAATTCTCTCTACAGCCATCTTCAGTCTTCCTTGATGAAAATGTGGGCTACACCACTATGTTTTAACTACATGGAAGGCAGATGCTGCAATTCTTTTTCCTTGTAGCTACTTATTTAAATAATACATTGATCCAAATCCCTTCTTCTCTCTCTCTGCTCTCCTAATTTTTTCTGTTCATTCATTTGTTTGTTCTGGAACACTTTGGGTTTTTAAAACAATCTTACCCTGTTGCCTTGGAGGCCAAAGCTGAACTTCTTGAGAGTCTGGCATTAACTTCAATGATGTAGTACTCCAGGGAAGTTGGATGCAGAGCAAACTGGATATTACACTCTCCCACAATGCCCAAATGTCGGACAACTTTGATGGCACGATCCCTCAGCATCTGAAACTCCTCATTATTGAGTGTCTGGCTTGGAGCCACCACAACAGAATCTCCTGTTTGTCACAAGGTAGCAGAGAAGGCAATGAGAAGCAGCTCAGGAGCAGTAAATTGTGGCCACACAAGTCACTGTCTTTGCTAACCCACTACCAGTAATGACATGACCAGAGATTACAACTTGTACATGCACAGCTGGTGAAAAGCACAGATAGTCAGAAGCTCAGAGCTGGAGGCAGGCTAAGGAATCTTATGCAAAACACAATCACAGGTATAGGTTTAATCTGTTTCATGCCCTATCTGGCTGTATTCAGGACCCAAACAGTATTTTTCTAGCCCACTTTATCAATCACAAAGCTCTGTCAATAACACCAGGCAGAATAGTATTGCATAAAAAAGTCACTGAGCCAGCTTTGCCCAAGCCTACCTGTGTGGACTCCCATAGCATCAATGTTTTCCATGTTGCAGACAGCAATACAGTTATCAGCAGCATCTCTTACAACTTCATACTCTATCTCCTTCCAGCCAACAACTGACTTTTCCACCAGAATTTGGTTAGTCATTGCAAATGCCTAGGAAGAGGTTAGGGAAAATAAACACCAAAAAACCCCCACAACAGTCCCCTAAAAACCAGCACCAAACCCCTTATTAGACCCTATTGCACATTTAAGACTTATCTGCAGACATCTCAGACCAAATGAAATATGAAAATAAGTTCATAATATTGATAACAAGCACTTTCTATTTCTCTTTCTTAAAAATTGCTTTACTGTGATTTGAAAGGCACACTTGAAAATATGTATGTGATATGATGGGGAAAAAATTGGGCATGTGTGTTTGCAACAGTATATAAATAACAAATAAGATTATAAGAACTTCAATAGGAGAGCACTGCAAAAAGCAGAATGACTGAGTGATGGGAGAGTTTGTGCCAGCAAACACTATGTAATTAATAGCATTAATAATGCTGCTTGTCATTGGCATACTAACCAGAGGCAAGGGTCATGATTTATTCTTAAACTAATCTTGAAAGTATTCCTCAGCATACAAGGCAAAAATGAAAAATACAGTTTGTTGGCAAATGAGCATCATCTAAGTGAATACATGGCTTTAATATTAGCAGATAGAAAACATTAATCAATACTTGCTTAAAACCCTAGAAAGTGATGGGCACATTATCAATCCATCCTTTAGCAAAGCTTCTTGTTATAATGCTGCCCATGAATTGGCTCTTCAGTCTGCTCCCATCTGTCATTAACTCAAGCTGTTACTTAAACACTGCCCTTAGCTCAGTTGCCAAAATCACCCATAAAAAAAGAAAAAGGGCTAGAGGAATGGCACTTCACACTGGCCTAAGCAGGCACTGACCTGGTGGGGATGTAGCAGGAACACCTAACCACTCCTGCAAACCAGTCCTGGATGCTCCTGTATCCTTCTCTCACTCAATGGAGCAGACTCAGGAGACACAACCTCAAAACCAAGTTAGCTGAACTAGCTGTGCTATCAAACACCCAGTGTTCAGTTATCTGAATTATAAGCAGTTCAGTCCAGTGCCTGAAAATCCAGTTCACTGAATTACTACAAATCATAACTGCTGGGCTCTGGAAATGAGCATTCAAATTTGACTTAATTCAACAAGACCCAAATTGGTTTTCACTGTAAATTTTGAAATATCAATACTGAACTGGGAGGTGCTGTAAACTCTGAGGGACAGGAGGCCTTGCAGAGAGATCCAGATCAATTTTAGCATTAAGCCATGATTAATAGGATGACATTTAGCAAGTAGAAATGCCAGACTTCAAACTTAGAATGAAGCACCACCTGGCAGAAGTGGTAACTGGGAACAGCCCTGCAGGCAGGAATCTGAGACTGCTGGTAGGCAGCAGGCTTACTTAAAAAAAAACCAAAAGACCACAATGTGGTGATCAAAACCAGGGTTTTCCTACTGAAAAAGGTTCTGATATAAACCTGTCAGACAGCTGCACTCCCAGGGTTTATGGGTGAATTTCTGCTTCCTCTAAACACAGCCCACGAGTGAGTCTGAGTGACATGTTTCCAACCTCTCCATGGATCTGTAAGATGGAATTCCTGCCCTTCCTGCCTCCCCTACATGTACCAGTCCTGCCCCCTGAGCCCCTCACAGCTGACACCACCCAAGCAGTGTTTGTTCAGCACTGAGCACAGCAGACCCAAAGTCTGCATGACAGCAGAGGTGAGGAACACAAAGTCATTTGCACATACAGCTCTTAGTGACATCTGCAGTATTTCTTTCTAGAGATAAGTGAAAGATTAAGAGGCTCAGTAAACCAGAGAAAAACCCAAGAATTCTAGAGACCCATAGGGATAGATTTTTATTTCCTAAAATTCTGCATTTTTGACAAGGAAAAAAGCTTTTGATTTGTTTTCCCCAATTATCTGTTTACTTTTCACAGCAATGTTTAAACAATCCTGGATTTTCTATAGAAAAAGAGCTGTCTTCATAGCCAGAGACAGCTGGTAGCTGTCAAATTATGTAGTGTCATCCTGCTAAATGAGCTTTTGACCTAAGAGAATTACCATCTTTTGACAAAAACACAGAAGAGGCCCAAGCCTCCTAGCCTTCTGTCCCTAAGACCACGTTATCACCCAGCATTTCAAATGTTTCCACTTCCTTGACACTCTTCATAATCATTTACTCTTGGAAGTAGGTGAATCTAGACAAAGTTATTTCCTTTCAGACCAAAACAGCTGAAAAACTTGCTCAAATTATGTCATGTCATGAATTTAAAAGATCTGTCATTGAGCCATTTTCACTATCTGTCAGCAGGAATGATGAAAAGAGGGCAGTTCTTAACCAGGAAAACATTTTACAGATAAGATGAAATTTAAGGTATGTACAAATCCAGTGTCTATGACATTAGAACAGTATTTAAGAAAATCACATGTTCAGATATTCCCCGAGTTTGCAGTTCCAGACATACCTTTGTACCAAGGTCCAGCAAACTTTCCTTATCAGGACATATTCCAGACCCCAGACCACCAAGGGCATAGGCAGAACGTATCATGACAGGGTAGCAAATCTTTTCAGCTGCCTTCAGAGCATCTTCAACCTTAAAGGAGAGGGGAATACATTTCAGAAAGAGATAGCAATTCAGATAAATAAAGTCTTCAACTCTGGTTACGAGGTTAACTGGAAATCTCATCAGTAAGACACTAAACTGTCTGAAGATAAAGTTAAAATAATAGAAGTTCACTTTATAATATTCCCCTTTTCTGCCAAATAGCAAAAAACTGTAACATGCACTCAAGGAGGTGACTTCTGTCTTAGCTGTATAGGGACTTCCTTGCTGACCTGCCATGGACAGTGTCCTTACAGGATCTGTGTTCAGAGACTCCAGCATGAAATAACCCCTCCTAAAGACATCCCAGTTTAAGACCTGTTTGATTTCCTCCAAACTTGAACAGACCTTTCCACCAAACTGAATTTTATGTTGTCATACTCCCATCCTCAATAAAGATTTCAATCATGCTGATTTTGGGGACGTCCAATCCTAACTCTAAATGTCTTGTATATGATTTAAGAAAAGTACCCCTGACATGTCACATACTTTAGTGCTGCAGCACAGGAGTCACCCCAATATAATTTACTTTTCTTGCCAATTGGTAAATTGGATTAGGTTTTTGCAGTGCTTAACTGTATTTTCATTCATTTTAAATCATGGTGACCAAGCATTAATCACCAAGGAGTGCTGTACACACTACAGCATCCACAGCTGCATTCAGCTTTCACTCTACAAAACAAGAAATATTTTTATTAAGCCAAATGGGCAACAGTAATAGCAATCACATCTTCAAATTGATCTGATTTACCGATTCCACTGCAAGGCTAGGAGCAATCTTTTCATTTAGCTCAGTTAGTTTATCAGAGAAAAGCTTTCTATCCTCTGTAGCCATGATGGATTCAACTGAAGTACCGAGGACCTTCACACCGTACTGCTGCAGTACTCCTTGCTTGAAGGGCTCCACTCCTGCAGAGGAAACCAAAACACAGTTCTGAGGAATGACAGTAAATGAAGAATGATAGAATTAAAGGACAGAATGGTTTGGGTTGGAAGAAACCATCAAATTCATCTCATTCCTGCCCCCTGCCATGGGCAGGGACACCTTCCACTACCCCAGGTTGCTCCAGGCCTCATCCAGCCTGGCTTTGGACACTTCCTGGGATCCAAGGGCAGCCACAGCTTCTCTAGGCAACCTGTGCCAGGACCTCATCACGCTCACAGAGAAGAATGTAGAAAATTTAGAGCAAAAAAAGTATTCAAAAGATATCTGATTAGCTGACAACTTGTCTCACCTCACCCACAGCTAATTTTATTATTTTTGTCAGAACTCAAAACCATAACATGAAATTTTCCACCCTCAAATCTATGAAACCTGGAATAATACTACAGTTACCAGATGGTCACCACCTGCACCACAGAGCAAAGCTACACAGATGAATATTGGTGCAAGAAGTTATATGAAGGTAACTTTTGCATTTTATCTCTGCCTCAAGGTGGTCAGAATATCCTAAATCTAACTATGATAACTAAGATTTAAGATGAAAAGCAGGACATATAAATGACTTTAAAGTACCAAACCCAGCAATTAAATGTTAAGTTCACAGCTTAGGAATCACTTACTCCCCCATGGTTGGAATCTCTGTCCCTCAGTAACCTGGCCAATGTGTGAGGCATTGGGGCTTGGATGCCTGCAGAAATAAAATCTGCAGAACATGTGGTAGTATCACAGAATCATCCAGGTTGGAAAAGACTTCTAAGATCCACAAGTCCAATATTAACCTAGCAGCACTATGTACACCATTAAGTCATGTCCCCAAGTGCCACAACCAACAAGTGCCACAACCACACACCTTTTGAGCACTTCCAGATTGATTCAATGCCTGACTATCCTTTCAGTGAAGAAATTTCTCCTAATAGCCAAACTAAACCTCCTCTGGTGCAACTGAAGGTCATTTCCTCTGGTCCTGTCCCTTATTACTTTACTTGTTATTTGATAAAAACCATGATTTGGCCTTCATGGAGTGCCAAGGCACCTGTATCACACTCACCACAGTTGAGAGCAGTCTGGCCCCCCATGCCCAGGATTAATCCATCAGGATGCTCTGCCTTGATGACCTCGATGACAAACTGAGGAGTGATGGGGAGGAAGTAGACAGCATCAGCCTGCTTTAAGCCAGTCTCATTGGTCTGCACTGAAGCAATATTGGGATTCATGAGGACAACTTTCACATTTTCTTCCTGAAAAATTAAAAATTGTGTTAAATATAGGCACATGTGGGAAAAAAGCTAACAGCAGCAGCAGTACCAGCAAGAAGAGATGGGATTCATCAAGCAGTTTACCAACAGCAGAATTTTAAAATTATGCACTGTCCTGTAAGAGACTTCAGGTCTGAAAGCTGAGCCAATGCCAATTATTTACTTTTGTGCCTGTGAATCTTGAGGGAATGGAGATTCCCACATGACTCAGAAATTTGATTGAAATTGTTTAACACATTTAGGAGTTATATAGGAGAGACAGGTACAAACTGCAGCATACTCATGTCTGTCTGCCTTTGGAAGTCAGATTAAAGGTGACAAACCAAAAAATTTAATCAAAAGCTAATATTTTCTTGCCAAGCAGTAGATCTTTGAAGTTCTCAGATTTTTGTACTAACTAGTAACAAAACCACATTTTTTTCTTTGACTTTCCATAGAAACACTTCATTGTCCTGGTATTATCAGTTTAAAAATCTCATCCCATAACTTTTGTTATTTGATACTGCGCATATTAAAAGACAAACTCTGCCTTTCTATGCAAGATGGAGGTTAGCCAAAATTTTACACTGCTCTTTCTCTGTCACAGATGAGAAACTGAGACAGAGTGATAATAGATAATAAAGTTTATCTGTTTCCTGCTATAACAGTCTTGCTGCTCTTTAGTTACAGACAGAAATGCATTGGTTTGCTCATTAATAGAAAATTCTGAGTCAGAGCTGGGCAGATCAATCCTCCTCACTCCTGAAATACCAGCACCTAATGAGGAAACCAACCAAGTTTTGCTAAAAATTATGAGTGTGGCCAAGCTTAAAAAAAACCCCACATCAACCACATGAAGCAGACATGCAGATTCAGAAAATTATTCTACTGCTTTGTTGCAAAGGTGCACTGAAAAGTGCAAAGGCTGTGGCCTCATTTTTACAGGAGCTCATTCTAATCTCCATCAACTTCATGTAAGGCTGAAAAACTACAAACATCATTTGCAAAAGATGCTAGTTATAGATGCAAATTACATTTCAAAATGTAATTTTGAATATATATACATGGAAGTTGTTAAAAGGTTAAAAAATTACAATACTCATTGAAAAGAGGAACAGTACCAATATTTTTTAAATATTTTAAAGAAACAGACTGGAGAAAATGCTATGGAAGTGTTGCTAGGATCAGTACAGAAAGTGCTATTTTCCCTCAGTTCACAATAAGCATGAAAATGCCACAGGAGTTTTCTGTATTTGTTTAAAAATTGTGATTGTTTGTCTCACTGCTTTGGGGGAACAAAACAATAACTCACCTGGAGCAGTGGGATTCTCACTCAGAGCTCTCAGTGCTCAGGTGTTGGATAACATTTCCTCTCCTTTCTTTGATAACTTAAAATACTGCCTTAAAGACCAGCTGTAAATTTCTGCTGACCTTTTTCCCTGTGAAAAGCTGGATTTTCTTTTCACTGAAGCACACTTTCCTTGGAAATGTGTGGAACAGGGGAGGGAAAGAACATATAAAATCCTTATGGAAAATATTTTGGATTTAGACAAATGATCCTTAATTGGGTAGTTTTCATGGTGATGGTGAGGGAAAAGATCAAAACATTCTTCTGTAATAAATGTATTCAGAAATTTATGGCTACAATTCTGCTGAAACAAATGGAGGAAGAAAGAGTTTATCACTTTTCAACAAGCTGGACTATCTGCACGTCTCAGCTTTCTTCCCTGCTTATCTGGGACAAGGTATCAAAGATCAACTAGCAATGATGATAAGGATAATTAATGAGAGAATTAATGCTCTCTGTGCTGAGAGACAAATTTCATTGATATCACATCATGCTGGCCCAATTGCTTGGGATGTTGGATTTTAATTCACGTGCTATTTTCTCTTCCAACCCTTTCCTTCAACTTCTTCCTTTTTTAGTTTTTTATAAACATACAGAACTCTGGGTCATGGCTACCCACCCTGGTGGAGACATTTATTACTTAATTAAAGCAATCAATTGTTATTACTCCAGAAGGGCGCCATTTCTCTTTTTGTGTAATATCCGCCTGTATTCAGCTGAGTTGGGATAATCCCCACAGAAAGTTATCCTGAAGATTTTCCAGGTAGCCACAAGCCAGTCTGTTGTTCACAGATGCTTCCAGGCCTTGCTCTTCAGGGGATGTTCTTGCCTTTGATGAATATTTTTTCAGATACAAATTTACTGAATGTGGAAGTCCCATCTCCTCAAGACTTTTTAGTATTTAAAAGAAGCACCCATTTAACTGTCCAGGACTGAATATTAGTATCAGCACCTTCTTATAATAAATCAGTATCCAAGAGCCAAGCAAGAGCAGCAGCACACAGCAGAATGAATCAGAACATCGGCACTGAGAATCAGTGCTGATCCATAACAAAAAAAATCAATCAAAAAGAACAAGTCCAAGGAAAAATAAATTTCTCCTGTCTGCTGTTAACTCTGTTCTCTCCCAGCCATGTTCTGCAGCTTTCCCTGGCAGGACTGACCAGCCACTCCTCTCTCACAGGCAGCCCTGAATGCCTCTGCCAGAGGCAAGGTCAGGAAGGGCAAGCTCTGCCTCTGGATCAGCCCACAGATCGCAGCAGCTCTTGGGTGGCCATGTGAAGGGGAAGGACTCTGTGGGAAGTCAAGCTGGGGGGATTTTTCACTAAAAAACCCCACTTTCTGACCCAAGCTGAGTTTAAAGGACAAGGGAGAGGGAAAAAGAAAAAAAATAAATAAAAGGAGATGCCTCTTTTCCAAATGGGTCATTATTGATGCTGCCCAACTCTGGGATCCTCCACTCCTGGCCTGTACTTGTCTCCTGATGATGTGGTCAGTTTGAACCAGTAGCCAGCAACAGCAATACAGTACACAAACAACACACATACAAGATGTGTTGCAACATGGGGATGAACCAGAGCAACCCAGATTATATTTAACATTCCTAAAACTGATTTTTTCCTTCCTTCACTCCAGGGCCAGCACAGGAATAGAATGTTTGTGGCATCAGGACAGCCTCAGAACCACTCACAACCATCACCTCATCTGAGGGCAGCTGCTACTTCTGCTCTGACTCTGTCAGGGATCTGAAAGCTTCCTCTTCCTTCTTCACATGAGGTTAGACAAGAACTTGGGGCTTGGGTAACTCTTACATTACCAACAATAACCCCATCACAGGACATTCTACCCTTTTACACCTTCCTCTAGCATGAGCTTTTGCCCTAGTAACCTTTCTAGGACCTGTTCTAGAAACAAAACTTGACATTAATGACTTTTTAAAAACTCATCCTATTTAAAAGAAATACCATTTAGCAAGCCTGCCTTGATGAGGGGTTCTTTTGCATAGCAGTAGCCAACTGTTCAGCTGTTACTGGTTGTCTGCCCTGCAGTGTGTTGACAGATCACAAAAGTTCCAGAGTCTCACCTCAGGTACATCTGACCATATTCCTCCTCCTCCATTTCCATTCAGTTTAACAAGCCTGGAGCAACCAGGCACACATCCCAAATAACAAACTGCTTGAAGACTGTGATGGAACCCCTAAAACATGTCTTTGGAAGACAATTCAGAGTGGTTAACTCACGTCACTCAACCAGCGAGTTCACCAACAAAAATTGCTTATTTTCCCTATGGTCATTTATCCTCATCACCTTCCTTAGCCCAGCTGGACACAGTTGGCGGATCAGTTTGGCTGTGAGAAGGGAAAGATGAGGTTATAAACATACAGAACTCTGTATTTTCACAGTATCTCCTCACCTTCAAGGCTTTCACAGCCTGCGATCCAGAGTAATCAAATTCCCCTGCCTGACCAATTGACAGACCCCCGGATCCCAGAATGAGAACTTTGGAGACCTGCAAGTGTCAAATGGCATGAAAACAATCAGTCCCAGTGTGGTGGATGTTGAAATGAACAGAGACTGTGCAGCACTGAACAGTCTTAAATTACAGAACACAAGTTTTCAAAAAAGAAGCTGCTTTCAAAATCACCTCAGTTTTACTTCTTAGAGTATTTCTACTGGAATTCTCCCATATATCTCCATTTAGAGAAACATGTGACTCATGGATAGAGCATACAATAAATCTGTTAATTGTATCATGTGCTCATAGACAACAATGCCTCACTTTGGCTACCCACAAAATCCTGCTGCCTTGAAGACAGCAACTGTATGAAATTCAGCTCACGTTAGGAATTTCAGATTTATTTGCTAAGCAACCAAGCACCGACATTATATTGCTGGCATGAAATCTCCTGGCCAGATTATCCCAGGGCACCTCATTATACTGCTATGAGAGTACCTCTCTCAGGAGAGCTGCAAAGAAAATACATGAAACATCAGAACTTAAAACTCATTCAAAGAAAAGAGAGTTAATAGCACAAGAGAGGCCAGATGACTGTGAGATAAGCAGCTGTCAGGACTTTTATAAGAGAAGCCTCCTTTGACTTCCATGTGCTATTTCATTCTGTGGGTTCAGTAGGAATTAACTTGCTCCCAGCTTCACTGACAGGCATGAAAATATCTGTACACTGACCTCCACTCTAGAAGCTGTCACTCCAGCCTTGGGAAGGACTGAGGGAATGGTGGTGCCTTTCCCTCTTTTAACCAGGGAAATAAATGAATCAAATAGGAACTAGGAAAAACAAACACATGTATTTACTGCCAAAGCCAAACTCAATATACACCAAGCAAAGAAGGAAAAACCAGGCCATTTGTGAATTCATGCAATCAGCTCTCCTCTGCTGCCTTCAGCAGGCAGATTTACACCATCTCAGAAGAGGAAATCATTATTTGAAATTTATATAACAACTTTGACATATCTGACAAAGCTGCATTCAAGAAAGTGAGGTCATAATCAGGAAGAAAACACACATCAATCATGTCTGTGTGCTCTGTTTCTCTGTGGCTGCCAGTGCAGGCAGTGAACGTGCACCAAAAGCTAAAACACAGAGGAGCATACACTGAACCAGCTCAGGGAACCATCTGGAATGGTGCCTGCTAGAGGGCAGGGCTCTGAGCAGGGATAGCTAAACATCATTTGTGCAAAATCAGTGTTGTCCTTGCAGAGGAGGTACCAGAAAAGAGCTCTCCAAGCAGGCAGAGCAGGCAGCAGGACCCTCGGTGGGATCAGGCAGCTACAGGCAGTGGGACAGGCTTCCCACTCACCCCACACCCACCAGGCTTCTGCTGCACAGCCCCGAGGCTGGCTGACTGCTGGGAATTACCTGTGCAAGGAGCATGGATGGGTCCTGCAAGCTTATCAGGATAGCTATGTTATCAAACCAGCCCAGCAGTGGGAGTGCACAGACTTGGAGAAAAAACACAGCTGAGTTTTTTGGGTTCTCTGATATACACTAGTCAATCAGGTTGCTATGAAAGTTCCTGATACCAAGAGATTTACTTGCAGATTTAATCAACATCATCAAATTAAGATTAACATAAGCATTTCTAGGTATTCTTCCATCTTTGTCTCTCAGGAAATGCTAAATAGTTTATTTATGTTCAGACATGCTTCTTTCTGCCTTCCACATCCCCTGATGCTGCTTAGTCATATTCTGTGACTATGCAACCAGTTGTTACAAAATTTGTGTGAAGTCACAGATGGGGGATTAAAATTTCATTTCACTTAGGAGAACCAGAGTGAGGAAGTATGAATCCATTTACATAACTCTACAGTAATTATAAAATTTGAAAGTGGAACTAAAGTATATTAGAAAGTTAATGATTTTATTACAAAGCATCTGGCTAGTATTTTTTACATTTAAGATAAAATCCTATTCCTTTTGCAGTCTCTTTTGCAAGAGATTTCAGCCTGATCCTGCAAAGGCTTAAGCACTTTAGTAACTTCCAACACAGATAATCCCACCAGGACTCAATACATACACATCATATGAATGGAATCACTGATCCAAAGCACTAGGAAGTCAATAGACCTCTTGCTGCTGATTGCAATTAGCTCCAGATCAAGCTAAGCAGACACAAACCTATGCATGACTGGGACCTTTGCTAGGATCCTGACACTTCCAGACCAAAGATTTAGGACCACCACCAACTGGTACAGCAGCTGATAAACATCTGCACTCACAAGGCCATCAGAAAGCAAGCCCAGATCAGCCCCCATACATTACCTCTGTGTCCCTGGGCCCAGGATTTGCATCTGGATAGAACTGCACTGTGAAAATCGATCTGCTCTCATGCATAATTCCCTGCAGGAATAAAAGTGACTCTCTTAGACACCTCCTGACAAGCAAGTGAACAAAAAGCCACCTTATCCCTGCAAGCACTGAAGGCCAAAGGACTGATGTGTTTCTAGGGGCTGTCCAATTGACACCCATTTCATTCCCTGTCTCTTGCTGTGCTGTTAACTCTGCAGGGCCTGTGCAAGCCTCAGCTGTCCATGGACTGGGGCGCACATTGGAGACAGAGCTTTCAATGCAACACCAAATATTGATAAGTGTCACACTCATATTTTCTGGAAAAATCCCTTCGCCCAGGATTTTTCTCCTGGGAAGCTGAGAAGCCTCAGAGAAAAAGGAAAGCAATTATCTCATTGGCTTCTCCTGTGTTTTGCTCCTTTGGAATGTGTTTGGAGATTGTTTCATTGGTTTCTGGTGTAAATTTTTTTTGTCTCATTGGCCAATTAGTGCCAAGCTGTGTTGGACTCTGGAGAGAGTCACCAGTTTCATTATTATCTTTTTAGCCTTCTGTAAGTATCCTTTCTGTATTCTTTAGTATAGTATTACTATAATATAATATAATAAAATAAGAAATTAGCCTTCCGAGAGCATGGAGTCAGATTCATCCTTCCTTCCTGCCACAAGGGTCCCCACAAATAAAATAGATAAGCTGTAAGCATCTGACAGAGCAGCTACACAGGGCTCCCTGCACACACAGGGCAGAGAAGAAAAACATACCTGGCAAGAAAAGACAAGGCTGTTATGGAATGAATGGTTTAACCATGCCAAGCTGATTGGTTCTGTCATAGAAAAAATGTTGTTCACACTCCTGATTTCCATAATTCATTTTAAATTCTGACACAGGGGCCTTGATCTCTGCCGTGGGCTGGGCAGAGTGATGAAGAGGACCACTGTTGTGGACAAACAAAAGCTATGAAGGACCTAAACTGAGTTTAGAGACAGTGTTTGTTGTTTCAGTTGGAGCCAGGAAAAAATGATTTCTCATTTGAGTGGTCTGATACCACCAAGAAGCAAGATCCACTGGGACACCAACCCATAGGTGCCACTGCTCATGGTTTCCAATTCCAGACAGGGGTAGAGAAGTTCCTCAAGAGGAAATTCCGGGAAAAGCAGCCCTGATACAACCTGCTTCCCCAAACAGTCTCACATAGAACCACAGTGCCATCCAGAGCTTCAGGGTGGGATGCCAGGATAGGACAGGGATGAGAGATGAGCTACTGACCACAACATTATGCCATGAATTTCTGCTCTCAGAGTAAAGAATTCCATCAGTCTGTCACACTTTCCCTGAATGCTCATGTTCCTTGTAGTTACATGTAAATGTATGTAAAAACTTTCTGAAATGTAAAAATTTTAAAAATTTATTTAAAAACTTATAAAAATGTTCACTCCATGCCTTGTCAGCATTTGGAAACCTGTGCTGGCCCTGTCCAGCTGTAATAGGTCAGGTCAGCCCCAAGAAATGCCTTTTTTTTCAAGCTGAGGAATGCAACAGACTGCACACAACAGAGTGCTCAGCCCTGACCCTGTTTTTGCATGCTAAACCAACACAGTCCTTGTCCCTCTCTATCTATGAAGGTCTAGGAGACTGTTGCTGCTTTGGGGTTCACAGAAATGGCTTTTTAGCTCACATGAAAGAACATCATTCTACTAGATCCATAAGATTCCTGTCCAACCTTATCACCTTTGTCTCCAAATTCCAGCTAAAGCAAACATGAAAAGCCTAGGAATGAATGGGTTTAGTTTGTCAACACAGTGAAAATAAACTCATTTCAAAAATTGAGTTGAACAGCTGTAAATTTTTTTTGCATCAATGTTTTGTTTGGTAAAATTTGTCTATGTTTAGATACCTTTCTGTGTTTAGATGTCCCTCTGTAAGGATAAAGCAACAAATAAACAAGGATAAACAGCAAATGACAAACCAAACTTATTTTAAAATCATCGTATGAGTAGCTCAGAACAGCATTATTCAATCTGCCAGACTTTATAGTGAGCATTCATACAAAACAAGAGAGAGAAAGAGGCATATTTCCATGAAGGAAACTGCTTTTGAAAATACCTTCTTTTTCATTGATTTCCTGATAACTAACACGATTTTAAAAACTTGCACAACATTAGGCATCATGGAAAAGATTTGATGCGGGCAAATACAAGCCTGAGATCTCAAACATGGATGCCACTTGACATTGGACTTTTATCTTAGATCATGTAAGCTATTCTCTAGGGGCAGCCCCTTTTCCTCATGACTTTAGTCATTGGAATTATATTTACAATAACAGACCAAATTACATAGCAATGATATCCCTTTTCTGTGCTGGGCAACACAGAACCAACACAACAAACTGGTGACTGCTTGCACTGCTGTGGCACAAACCCTAAGAGAATGGTAGCCAAGTGAGCAGCACCAGCAGAGGGGAAACCATGGAAATTAATAAGGCTACTGTTCAGGGAAATGATAAAGTCACTGCTGCAATCCAGTGCAGTGGGGCTGGTACAGTGGGGTACCCATCTTACCCTGGCTGTAAAGCAGAGCTCCAAGAAAAGCAGATGATCAAATCAACAAATTCAGCCTTGATAATGTGAGAGCAGGTTTACAGGAGGTGAAATAGAGGCCTCTCTGTGCAGAGCTCACCTCATTGGTTTGGTCATTGGCATTCACAAAGAGAGGCTTCCAGCCAGGAGGGAGGGAGGAGCCATCGATGGCATAGCCATGGTTCTGAGCAGTGATGACAGCCTGGCCACTCACTGCATTCAGGACAGCCTGGTTCTGGCCTCTGGAAGAAAAAGGGATCAGAAGTGCCAAATATGTTCAAGTGCCACAATTAGGAGGAGTTGATAACTGTGGGGCAGTACATAACAGTTCAATAATAGCAGTAAATATTGGCAGCCAATCTCAAAATGATAAATCCTAGGAGAGACTGTTATTCTTCAGCTTGATAGGGATAAATTACATCACACTTTCAAAAAACACTCAAAAAAAGCACAGCATCACATGGCAGTTATCCTGGATTGAAAGACAATGTGTGTATTCTATTTGCCATCTGTCAGAGCTGTGGCAGTTCTGTTCATTGGGCAGTTTTCTTTATCTCTCCCAGAACCAATCCTCCCTCCAGGAGATCTCTTCTGTTCATGGCCACTGAGTGTCCCTGCATGGCTGATAAAATTCCATCATCCCACTGGGAGATGCTCTGCCCAGGGGAGGAGCCAAGCATTCCCACCTGGACAGAATCTGACACTGGGAACACCACAGCAGCCTTTTCCCACTGCATTCCCAGAGGAGCAGCTTTCTTCTCCACTGCATTCCCAGAGGAAGACCAGGCCCATCTACAGCAGCACTGAAGCTTCAGAGGAAAACTCCACCCTTGTCCAGGATCCCTGCTCCAGCAGAACCACAGCTGGCACTGCAGGAGGGCTGAGCCACCATGGAATGGGACTGTGCCACCACCCTGACACACAGGGGGTCAGGGCCTATTCTGACTCTGTCAGTAGGGGGTTTTTTTGTTGTTTGTACTATTGCATTTGTATTTTTAATTTTCCTAGTAAAGAACTGTTATTGCTATTCCCATATCTTTGCCTGAGAGCACCTTAGTTTCAAAATTATAATAACTCATTGGGAGGGAGTTTACATTTTCCATTTCAGGGGAGGCTTCTGCCTTCCTTAGCAGACACCTGTCTGTTCAAACCAAGACAGCAGTTTAAATGAAAGGCAAGAAGTATGGCTGGAATGAAGGAGCAATGTTACTGAGATGCCAGCTGCTCCTAAGGCAGTTCAGCAGCAGAGCCCTGCTGTTCCATAGCCCTTTCCAGTGCTGAGCTTCTCTGTCTGGGAAGAAGAGCTGCCTCACCTGTTGGCCATCTGCATCTTGTAGGAAGTAGCTCCAGCTGCTATTCCAGTGATTAGATGCCCCATGCTAATTCCAAACAGGGGCTCTGGGCGATTGCTCTCCAGGACCTAAAATGAAAAGGTTTTCAATAGATACTGGAGTGTCTCTGTCCAGCAATTCCAGCATAAACCATGCCAGCAGTTCCCTCACAGACTTGGGAAAAAGCTAAATGCCAGAGTGGCAACAGCCTATGAAGGAAATTTTCCTCCTTTCCTCTGGTTCAGAGAGAAGCCTCCAAGTACAGCTTGGTGTCAGACTACTCACAGGGAATAAGCATTACAGACATTTAGCGACATTATTCCAAGTGGGAGCTCTGAAACCAGTGCTGCTCTTTCCTAAGGTCACAGAGGACTGAAAGAGCACAGGGTACTTAAAGGCACTGACATGGTAATTGTGGTCACCATGTTTGCCATGTATTGTTCCCCAAGGTCTATAAAGCCTTGTAGTAACTATTGGGCTGGAGACAAATCCCACCAGACCAACATGAAGAATATTCCCACCAGCTGAAATGTCTGAACAACATTTGGCCCATAACAGCTTAGTACAACCAACTGCTGCTTCAAGCACTTGAAAAAAAAGGCAAATTAAAAAGTATCATCAGCCTGTAGTGATATACACTGTACCTTTCTGACATTCTGAATCACTTCCTGGGCCTTCATGGGATCCCCTGGACCTCCAGAAATTATGAGTCCATCATAATCCATGCCAGTGAAATCATAGTCCCATGGAACCAAGTGCACTTCTGCACCTCGCTAAAAAATAAATTAAAAAAAATAAAAAAAAAAAAGGGAGTAAAGGAGTAAGAAATTAAGGGAGGAAGGAAACAAATGAAATTTTCTAAGGAGGTTCTTCCTATGCTCTCATGTCCCAGAATCTGAGTTTGTATTTCAGTCATGAGTTAACTCCTTTTCCCATGATCAGCTTCTCTCCACTATCTGGCCATATTACTTTCACAAAACTGGCAGACTTGGCCCCTTGGTGCCACCTCAGTGCTTGTCAAGTGAAATTCACTGATGAGATCAAAACTTACTGATGGAAAGCAAAATAAGTGTGCATGTAAACATGTAACACATTCACTTTTACACTGTGCATTCACCCTATCTGCTAAATTAGGGCTTCACAGCCTTGTTCTATGACATGCCAGAAGTAGTCCTACACATCAAAACTGACACAAACATCCACATTAATTTAAAAATTGAATCAAGGAAATCCTGTGCATCTAGAGAATATGAGGATATTGCCTTCTGTCCTCCTGTGTGGCTAAAGAAGCAAGAATTGCTACATTACTGTGCTAAAAACAGGAAAAGCTTTTCACAGAAATGTAGAATCAAAGAATAACTTGGGATGCATGAGCCTCATGAGGTCATCAGGTCCAATCCCTGCACAAAGCAGGGGTAATTTCCACTTTAAGGCAGGTTGCTGAGGGCCTGGGGAAGCTGTGTTTTTAGTATCTTCAGTGATGAACATTCCACAAGTACTTCGGGCCTGTTTCAATCATTCACCACCATCACTGCATTTCCACCCCCCCACCCCCC